TAAATGAATGAATGAATGAATGAATGAATGAATGAATGAATGAATAAATAAATAAATAAATAAATAAATAAATAAAATACTTTTCAGCATCTTAGCTCAGAATCCAGAGGCGCTTCTCCTGGATTCTACCCACTTCTGTTGGAATTGGCTACCATCTCCTGCTCCTGCACCCAGAAATCCTCTTCTCGAGCCCTGGAAACCCCTCTATAACAGGGTGTTATACTGTATTCTCTCTTTTTGTACCAAAGACTGCAACATACCAGTTGTAATCAAAATTATTCAACCTCCATTGCAAATCAGATTTATTATCAAAATTTACAGACTTTCAGCTGTTTGCAGTGAATAAATCAAACAAAAGCAATTGAAATAACTCAACACAAAAAAATGCTTCAAGTGGTTTCCCAAAATTCAACTGAAAATTCAACTTTTATTGAATTCTGCAATCCCAAAATTATTCAGCCCTCTGAACAGAATCCCTCACAACAGCACAAATATGCAAAATAGGTGTTGCCTCAAGCACACCTGATGCAACAAATCAAGGGCTTCTTTAGTTGCACCAGGTGTGCTTGAGCTGGAACACATGAAATACCTGAACTGGTTAGTTAGGGGTTTGACGAGTGTCATGTTTGACTGCATGTTAGAAATATGGCCACGTCAAAAGAATGGTACAAATAGTTAAGAGAAGAGATTGTTGTCTATTACAATCAAGGAACAGGATACAAAATGATAGCAAATATACTGATGTTCCTAGAAACACCGTTGGAAGCATAGTTCACAAGTTCAAAGAAACAGTGGTTACACTACCTGGATAGGGCAGAGAAAGGAAGCTATCAATGGCTGCAGTCAGATATCTGAGATGGCAGGTTGAGGAAAAACCCTTGATTGACTGCAAAAGCCCTGCAGCAACACTTGGTAGCAACAGGCATTGAGGTTTCAGTCTGCACAGTAAAGCACATGCCAAAACGCAAAAGGCTTCCACGCCAGAATTCCAAGACTTATATCACTACTGTCTCAAGAGCACAAGAAAAGTCGGCTTCAATATGCTCAAAATCACATAAATAAGCCACAGACGTTTTGGGATACAGTTCTGTGGAGCACTGAACCAAAACCAGCAATATGTCTGCAGGAAGGAGAATGAAGCATATGCTGAAAAGAACACTCAGTCTACAGTTCAATATGGTGGTGTCTCGGTGATGCTTTGCATCCTCAGGCACTGGAAATCTGCAGTGTGTGGAAGGCAAGAAGAATTCACTGAAGTATGAGGAAATCCTAGGAGAAAACGTCATGCTTTCTGTGAGGAAGCTGAAGCTTGGGCGTCATTGGAACTTCCAACAGGACAATGATCGCAAACATTCCTCAAATTCCACCAAGGCTTGGTTGCAGAAGAAGTCCTGGAAGATTCTACAGTGGCCACCACAGTCACCTGACTTGAAACCCATAGAAAATCTCCGGTGGGATTTGAAGAAGGCAGTTGAAGCACACAAACCCAAGAATATTACTGAACTGGAGGCCACTGATCATGAGGAATGGGCTAAGATTCCTCAGGAACGCTGCCAGAAGCTGGTGACTGGCTATGCATCTCATTTTTTAACAGCTCATAACAGCAAAAGGGTGCTCTACTAAAGATGCTTGCCATGAAGGAGTTGAATAATTCTGAGACTGCAGAATTCATTGAAAGTTGCATTTTCAGTTGAATTTGTGGAAACCATTTGAAGCATTTGTTGTATTGAGCTCTTTCAATTGCTTTGCTTTGATCCGTTCACTGCAAACAGCTGAAAGTCTGTATATTTTGACAATAAACCTGATTTGCAACGAAGGTTGAACAATTCTGATAACAACTCTAGATAAAAGCCCCAATTTCACATGGCACTGGATATCAAAATATACCATTGGACTCTGGCCACAAATTGCAGAAAAGTGGCAAGGGACACTTCTGTACATGTACAGAAGACAGTAATGTACAATTGTCTTTTTTCCCCCTTACTGGTTATTTTCAGTCCTCATTTGTAACACACAGTTCTCGTATTTTTCCCTTTTCTTTATGGAGGTTTTTACATCATGGCTATTTTGGCTTCAGATGCAGCAGCTCTAAATAAATGATGTTCTGTTGAGTCTCAGCTCGGGAAGTCTATGTGTGTAGCTCTCTATTTTTCCAGGACATAGGTAAGGTTGCACCTATATCAGTCTGTACGTATGAATGGCACACCTGGGAGGAGTCATGTGTTTTAGAAGCAGGTCTTGAAGCATGGTTCTGCAGTCTGTCTCAACATGTCTTCGTCTTCACACAAACAACACATGAAGCAGGGTACAGTGTGGCAAACACTACATTTCACTATTATTGCTTATTCCAAATGGCAACTGAAATACTTTGTGAAAGTGTGTTTCACTTTAGACACTGCCAAAGCAATCTGAAGGTGCCTTCCTTTCCTTAAATCTTCATCGAAAAAAAGTCTTCGCCATCTCTCTTAAACCCAAGGATTCTCTACCAGCAACCTCAAATAAATAAAATACCTGTGCCTAAAGATTAAGATGTACCACAGACAGTTCCAAGTTTGTTTCAGGCTAAAGGAAATGTTGGCAGTTTCTCCCGGCTCTTAAAAGAAACCATCACATCTTGTTTGTATTTCTGGTTCAGCTGACATATTTCCTTTTAAAGCCATTTTGTAAAGCCACAGACCGTGAGGATGTTTTATTTCTCTCTCATCATTATTCAGGCATTTGCCTGTACGCATACAGAGCTACATGAGTATCAGGGACAGAGAGACAGGTTGTAGCTTAGAGCTTAGCTCTGTCTCCCCAGAAGGACACTGCCCACCCATCACCAATGGCAGCATTTGTGCAAAGGAAAGGAAAATATCCTATGGTGTAATACTGAAATTTCTCTGGAAGCAAAAGTGACGAAACTGCCATACTTTGGACACAACGTGGGAAAGGACATTATGGAAGACAGGACATGATAGGGTTGCCATTAAGTTACAAGCAACTTGACAGCATGTAAGAACAACATTGAAATGAATGGTTTACAATAAATCGTATCATTTCACAAAGTAAAATAATGCCTAAACTTGATAAAGAATAAAAATTCACAGGATGAAGCTACCATGAACTCAGAGTAAGTAAGTCAGTCAGTCAATCTGTCAGTCAGTAACTTCTTGCACAGCAGGATGCAAGTTACATTTAAAAAATGCAAAACAAAATTAGCATTTCCCATCTTCAAGGAAGCATCTTAAGAATTAGAACTGTTGAACTCTTGGGTATTCCTTCAACAGTTTTCTTCAAGAATCTCTCAGCTTTTCACTATACTACGTTCTTCTTCCTTCATATATATGGGAACAGAAAAGCAGTTCCTAGACAAAATCTCCCTGAAAGTTACCCTCTCCCTAACTCCACTCCAATTAGCTCTCCTAGAATGATACAGAGGAAAGGCATATTTGTTTTATTTATCTAATCTCTCTGATACACCTGGCATTCTCCCTCCATCCTCAGGCTGCCCTGGAAGAATACATCTTTAGCTTTTGAGACTGATGCTCTTTCCCTAGCAAGCTTACTTAAGCTTCTCCTGAAGTCTTTCTTCTAGTAAGTTACCAAGGAACAGGATATGGCCAAGAAGATGTCAGAGTTGCCTTCTATCAATCTTCCAGTTTCTTGATGGCAACTATCTTCTTGCTATCACTTTAGCCAGAAGCTGTCTTGGGAAACCGCTTCCAGAACCTTCTCCTGTTTGTCTGTTGCAGCTTCTACCTTCAGTGTCCAAGCCAGATGTATGAAAACTCTTAGGCACTTATTCTTCAGCTGTTGTCTCCACTGCCCGCCAAACATTTTTCTTAACACTGTCTCAGTCAGTATCCTCTGAGCACTCAAGTATACGTCCTCAATATCTGCCAGTGCACTGGCCCATATTTACAAGTCAATAAGAGCCATGAAAATGCTCATAAATGATGTACCAAACTTGATATAATGCAAGAGGTGTAACTGAACCATTAGGATTTCAACATTTCCTTGGCAGTAACAGCAGCAGCTTTACTGATAACTATCAGATTACCAACACTAAGCCTCATACGTTAGTAGCTTCAGAAGGAGGTAAAAAATTCTCCATATAGTTTGCCCAAGGCCATACAGGCTGGCTCTTCTGCCAGGACACAGGAAATCAAAATTCCAGCCCCCATAGCTATGTGTTCTAGTTCACTGAACGGGTACATATGGTACATTAACACATAGCTGTGTTTTTCCTCCAGAGGGAACGACCTCCTGCTCTTTGCAGAACTAAATTATACTGGCATTAACTATCTAGATAGCTGGAGCAGTGAGTGATCTGGGGGAAATGAATATCCTTGTTTGTGTGATGTGCCATCAAGTTGTATCCAACTTGTAGGTACCCTAAAGAGACTTTCAAGGTACGTGATATATTTTAAAATGGGTTTCACCATTGCCATTCTCCCTAGCTACTACCTCACACTGCCTCTCTAAAGTGAGTACCTAGAGAAGAGAAATATTTGAGTGAAATAATAAAAAGCAGGAAGCATGTCTGACAAAAAGTGCACATTGCAATCATGCTCCATAAACCTAATGGTGAAATTTTATGGATGGCATATTGTTCGAGTTGGAATGTCTGTGTTTTATGACCAAGTTTCTAACCACAGTTTTTACTACAGCAGTCTTGGGGGGCTGTCAGAATGAATTCCAGTACCTTCAAATTTACCACCATATCAAATGCAGGAAGAGTTTTGGCTTGCAGAATCTACTTCCATTCTCAGATACATTCTCAGTGAGAGCTATTTTAAAAACAGAGGCTTAGGCATGTGGATATACACAGAGAATTAAGAATCATGTATTGAACCCAAGAACCTGTGATCAGTACAAGAATCAGTCAGAGGTCTTTATACATGCACACAAAATCCACTTGTAGTTTCCTTACAGTTTATTTTTAAGCAAATAAATTTGTTGGTGGCAGCAGTGAGAGCTTTTTAACTCTTGTGAGACAAGTGGGAGTTGGAAAGTCCCAGTGATCCACCACTAACCAAGCAGAGATCTACCAGGAGGTCTCTATCTTCTGTCCACCATTGACTGAAACAAGCACTGGAAGCCATCCAGACAAAATTTCCAGGTAGAATGCTAATAGTGGTAGGAGGGGGAAGAAACACGAAAAAGAACCTTATTCCTCACCTCCCATCAAACCTGTGCTTCAGGAAGTCAAACAGGGCTTTCTGCATCATGTCTGTCACCTTGCAGTGTTGAGGAAGATGGAGGAAAGAAAATTGACAACAGAAAGAAAGAAGCCCAAGGTAAGAAAAGAAGCAGAAAGTAAGGGCATTGCAAACAACCAATGCCATCTACATTTCTAACTGTGGATGTATCTTATCAATTAGATCTCACTCAGCTGACAAACCCAATCTCCCCAGTTATGCAGGTGGAACAACACATGTTGCAAATTCCCCGACTCAGCCCAGCCCTTCCAAATGGGAGGACACAAAATGGCCCAGATTCTCCTTGTCTCATAGGTTGGACAAGAATGCTCTCAATAGATGCTGAGCTACTTCCAGAGTACTCTGTTTCATTTCTAACCTGGTCCAACGTCTGTTGGAAATTAAGAAATGCAGGAGGGATTATACTGCCCATCTCCCGTGGTGTCCAATTTAGAGTTAAAGCGCAGGATGGGGTGAGAAAAATATTGGATGAAATCTTAAAATCATGCATCTTCTGTAAGATTTTTAAATCATAATTGTTGAGGACATTTGAAGAGATCACAGCTTGGTCTCACTCACTTTAGGATATCAAGAAACACTGTCGTTCTCACTGGGATGCTTCAGGCACTGGGTTCTGCTTTAGATGGAGGTGCATTTGTTTGCTTGAATTTTCCTAATGTTTAATTAATTTCTATGGCTTGATGATATACTTCTCAGCAAGTCCTATAGAGAATGTTCTAGAAATTATCTAAATGAATAATGGTTTGCATAGACACCTATTGTTGTGTCTTTCCCTCATCAAAGCACACCTGAGGCATTAGATTTTATCCTCACACTGCCGTTATGGGGGCGGATTAAGCCATGAACTGAAATGAGATTACATGGCAGGTTCATTCTCTTTTTTAAAAAATTGAATAATTGGATGTTATTTTGAAAATGTAAACTGTCCTGGAAGCACTGGTGCTGTGGGTTATAAGAATATTCTGTCCATTACCATGCTATAAACTCCAAATCCATCATCATGCTGGCACTGCAGCACAAGCATGATGGAGCTTCTCCCTTTGCCCACACAGCCCTTACAGCCACCTTAAAACCACCTCAAGAGGTTTCCAAGCCCTACAAAGCAGGTTTTGGGGTACGGGGGGCTGTAATGTGGAGGATATTTCATTTCCCTTCTAACTGAATGATACCACTGGATCCAATGATTCCATTCAATTTGAGATAAAGTGTTTTTCTTCCTACACGTTTCTTAGACAGGTCCACTTATAAATATCATTGCTGCACATAAGAAATAAGCAGAAGACAAGAGATGCCATCACGCCTCTTCAACACCATCTTTATACTTTTTCCCCTCCAATTTTCTTGACAAATTTAAGCTCCTCAGACTTACCTTAGTGCCAAGATCACCTCTTTTGACTTTTAAAAAATTAAGATAAAACTAAAAAGCTATACATTCATAAGACACAGATACTGAAATCAAGATATATAAAAGATACAACGTATCACTGAAGAAAACATTGTGGTAAATTGAAGTTGCAGATAATGAAAACCTGGCCAATATTAATTTTGTAGAACTTCAGGTAATTCTTAGGCATATATTCCATTCCTTCAGGGACAAGAGTTAAACTAGACTTGAAGAGGAATGGATATTTATGGTGATTAATCCTTTTCTCTTCCAGCCACAGTGTTTCCTCAGCGCTGCATGACTCAGCAATCAGATTTGCAAAGTAAGCATGTGTTTACCTTCCAGTGACCAATCATAACACAAAGGACAGCTAAACACAAGATACAGAGATGAGGAAAAGGTCATTGTTTGAAAAAGAGAAGTCTTTCACTACTTAGCAGATTACTATTTCTGAATATGTATAAAACACTTTATCTGGTTTGACCCTGACAAAGATGGCCCTGCTCCAGCATCACAGCATCTCATCCTAAAATAATGGATGTGAGGAAAAAGAATAGGGAACAGCCATATTGCAATTCAACAAAGCTCTTTTAAAAATAAATGGAGCCACTAGGCCAATCACGGAGCCTGGGCATGCATAACTTGCAAGAGACTCTGGCTCTTCCTATTCCTTTCACAACAGTTGCCCCCTGCCCAAAGGGTCCAGATGTTTTGAGAACTAACAGGAATACTCACCTCATAGCCTTTAAGTGAGGGGCCGACCAACACTACAGGCCTCATGGATGGAACTACATCATAGGGAGGCACATGTTCTGTCTGGAAAAAGAACAAGATGTCTGATAAATGTCTACTCTTGAACAGACTTTGCACACAATTTCTAGGAGAGTAGAGGGTGAAGACTGTATACTTACCACTTTCTGTTTCTGTTTTGCTGAAAGATCAAAATAATTAAATATTACTTTGTTTTACAACCACACAACAGTCATACAAGTGAAAATGAAGCATGCACAATGTTTAATCTGGCAGAAGCCAGCAGAGTTTTTTTTAAAAAAACCCCGAAGATTTAGGCAATTTAAGTGTGGCCATCTGATTAAAGTTCTTTCAATGACTGCCTTCAGTTGTTCATACCATGTCAAGTTTCCTGCCTTTTCGTTCTTCACACACACTGCTAAAGGCACAACATCCATTTAGAACCAAACGGTTCATCTTATCTCAGCTATGGTGCTTCTCACAGCTCACTGAGAGATGCTTAGCTATCAGCATGTTCCACGAAGCATCTAAATGAATCAATCAAGTTTAAGGGAATTGGGGGGTGGGGGGAGCACTTAAGAAGGAACGACTCTTGCAGTTGTAGTCCTAATGTAATTAATATTTGTAAGCCACTGTGAGGATATTTCCTAGTTAGGTGGTGTATAAGCATTACAAATACTACATGTGTAAACAAAGAAAGAAAAGTTAGCTGCGGCACCCCAGCTATGTTTGATCTATGTGCAGATAATTAGCTGTCATGAGGGGATGGGACAATCAATCTATTTTGCCTTCTTCATTAATAAAATAATACGAACTTCAAGGTTCCCCCCCTAAATATAAAGAAATGTATGAATTACAATAAATTTTCATCAAAAAATCAATTATAACACAGTTCCTCTGCATTGGACAAATTCAACAGGTTCAGTTCCCAGCATAAAGAAGAAATAGAGAACAGATCCCGTGCTGAATGAAACGTACTACTTCGTGAGCTGGGATTTTTAAAATTCAAAGTCCAAATATGTAAAATTTTCCTTCTACCTTGTGATAACATTTTCATGAGCAGAACAAATTTGGTTACTCCTATAGCCAGATTCTTAAATCTCAAGGGTTTTTCCCCCCATCTCAGACAATGAGAAGTTTAGGGGTTTGAATTAAATTCATATCAAAACGAGACTGAAACAAAACAGCCAACTCCAAGCCATGTGCCCCAGCAAAAGATCTCAAGGACAACAGGGCCATCTTATGTACTCTGAAGCAAAATTCACCTTTATGCTTGCCTGTCTAGGGAACTCTTACAAGTTAGTAGAAGCATTTTCTGGGGGAAAGGTGGCATATTAATGAAATTTTAAAAAATGTAAATTGGTTACAAAACAACAGATATCATTCCCATAATCCCCTATTAAAAGGCTGAAACAAACAGAGGAAGTAAAAGCAATAGAATAGTAATGTTGTCAAAGGTTCACATGCTCACAAACTTTCACAACGGTGCTGAAAGACAACTGGGCTCAACTAGAATGGAGGGCTTATAGGCCATGAATATCATTTACAGTGAGGTCAGGACAACCCAGCTTAGTACCAAGATCTTTTTGTCTTGCTAGCTGTCATGGATCACTTACCCAGAAAACATATTGGATAAGGTGTTCGGATGGTGCCCTGCCCCCAAAAATGAAATCCACATTGCTACAAACCACTATCCCTAAATTTCTAGATTACAATAGATTAGTCTTTACTCCTGCTATATTCTGATACACAGCCTTCAAGAGGCAGATCATTGCATTTATGCATACGAACAGTATAACCTACTCAACAATCCTTCACAGTTGCAGGTATCCAGTCTACTGTATTGAGGTCCCCCCCCCTTCTTTCTACGAGAAGCCCATAGCAGCCCTCTTGGCATGAACAGAGTTTTGTAGCAAGGTCAGTGTGCTACACCACACATTTAAAAATTACTTTTTAAAAGTGAAAGGATCTCCTTGAAGAGAGATGAAAACTCACCAGCAGAAGTGGGCGTCGCTCGAAATGTGCCAGACACCATTTCTCCAAGGCTTGAAGAAGAATTTCCACTTGATTTCCTGCATTGTAAAGAACTCCCACTAAGATACTGGGCAAAATCAGAGGATGAAACTCAACACACCTTGCCAGTGTCTAAATTCAGTTGATGAGGGCCCCACCCCATTATGTTTGTATTCACTCTTGGGTACGTAAGGGTAAAAAGACCAAACTGGACAAAAATTAGCAATGGGCAGTACTTCTGATAGACTAAGAGGAAGTTTGTGATTCCGTATAGTCTCTGTAATAGAATAACAAGACAGAGAAAAGCAGAAATGCCACTGTTGGCCTCAAAAGTGCTTTGGTAGGATTCCATAACCCACCCAATTACTGTTGAAGTATGTGATGGTAGACTGCCATTCTATTTGCTTCCAGTTATTCAGCTATTTTTTCTAAAAAGACCACCTAATCAGTGTCTTTTAGTATCTTCTCATGGGGCACTGACACAGTGCTTGACTGACTTTGAGAGTTTTCTTTCTAGCTTTTCAAATGTGTTGGCATAATATGAGCAACTGAGAAATACTGGCAGAGCGACTCCCAAGCTGCAAACAAATTTATTTTCCCCACTCATATAGACTTCTATAAGACTCATATTCAAAGCATTATCCTTTGTTGCAGAAAGGTTTGTTCAGAGGAAAATCCTGACATGATTATCTCTGGTGTCTGAAAAATAAAAGGCACTAAAAACATTGCAGGTGGTATCCACAAGTGTCAGATGGAATCCTATTACATTTTTATGCCAGCATAATGCAATTGGTATTAAATCTTAGTGGTCAATTGCTGAAGCTGAGGAATTCAGCATCAGTATTTGCTGCTGCGTGATGAGTTGTGTGGCTCAGCATGCAAAAGAGAATGCCTATGGTGACTACAAACACAATTTGATGTTTGCCAGCAGCATAGCTTACAGGATTCTAGCCACCATTTCTTGAAAAACCTGCATTCATTCCAGTGCTCTGGAAAAGAATGGACATTGCCAGTAATTGTTCAGTTGTGGACTACTGAACACCACCTACAATATCTGCAAACTCTGAAGTCAGGGTTGGACTGCATTCTTCATCCAAGAGCTACATACCCCTTCTCTCAATACAAATTAAATCCAGTGAAAAATAAAATGATCAAAATGTATTGGCTACCTCCTAATGTACCAGTTATAATCTGTAATTCCTATATCTAGATATCTGGGAACAAATCCCACTTAACTCAAGAGAATGTACTTCTAAGTAGACATATATAGGACTGAAATATCCCCACAGAGCTATCACAGAATGGAAAGAAATATAAAATAAGATCAATCTAAGTACATTATAATATATATTTTAAAATCACATCTTAAAAGCCCATTTAATACATAGTCTGAAATAAATCATTAATCTCAGCACATGAAATAAATTGTTAATCTCACCACTTGTCACCACAGTGAGAAAGACTGCAATAATTTAATCAGAGTTTTGACTTAGAATGCTATACGAGTGCTTAGCGCAGGGGGCAGGGCAACTTCAAACTCTCCCCCCCGTGCGCTTCCTAAGTTGTTTTTTTTTAAATCTTGAAACTGAGCTGAGACTGGACAGCCCTTCAAATAAAAGACATCTTCAGGGTATTGTCCTCTGAGAGCCCTTCAGATAGACCAGCAATTGAAAAAAAATGCCTAATCCTTCTCTAATCCTTTCTCAAAAGATGAACACATCACTTCTGCCATACGACTCATATGGAAAATCTCCTCTATCCATGGAGGGTCTCCCCATGATCCAGAATTGTAACTTTCCAACGTTCTGGAACACAGGGAGAACATCCACTGGTAGAAGAGGCACTTCTCTTCCGCATGAGCCCTGTGACAGAGGCGGAAACAGGGGATGGGGCTCAGGCATTCCCCTTCCTCACATCTTTAGTCAACCCTGCGTTCTTGGTGAACGCCACAGGCGGAAGCCATTCATTTACCCTCCTAGTTTACCTGTCCATTTTTGATTAATTTCTCAGTAATGTTAGAGATCTCAGAAAACAAGAAAAAGCCACACTCGAATACATTTAAAAATAGCAAAGCCAGCCAGTTAACTCAAAAGCAGTCCCAAGGTTCCGTTAAGGTAAAACACGTGCTCCGTCTTACCCGCCATGAAAACGCCCTCTCTTCTGCTCCTGCTGGATCCGAATGTTCTCCAGCCGTAGCGGACTAGGAATGAAGCCAATCTCACAACCTTCTTTCACTAATCTTCCTATCCACCAGTCATTGTTATATTTCTGTAACAAAGGAGCCATTGATTTGAATCTTTCATTTTCACGTCCTCCTACTTAATAGGTACAAGGATTTGCCAACCCGCTGTCTCCATTGCCAATGTTCATCCATCAAAGCCATATATGCCTGCTTCTCATATAGGCCCTACAATACTCTCAGTCTGTGATGGGAACAGGTGGACCTTCAGATGTTGTTGGAGCCCAGTCAATGGCCCATGGTCAGAGGGTAATGGCAGCTGTATTTCCCATCTCTACTCAAAATCAATTCTCCGTCAAGGATGACATCCAATGGCATGGAAGGAGTGGGTAGTAAAACTAGGCTTTTTCTAAGGTGGCAACTGGAAGGTTACATCCAACATTCCCTCTAATTTTCCACTAGCATAGGGTGGAGTCTTCACCCTGCATGTGCAGGGTTCCAGCTGCAACCAGAAGCAAATGGGTACCAACACTGGCTCAGCTGTGTGACCCTGATGCAGCACTGCACACCTGCACAGCTTAGAAGGAACATTGGTTACATCACATTCATACACCTTTAGCATCCATCACTAATCCTATAGCCTTCAATAAAAGATCCATTCCATATGAAAAGCTTCATGTAGTTTTCCATATGCAGGAAGAATAAGAGATAGAAGCTACCTGAAAAAAATTTAATTCTTCCCATCTACTCCGAGGTGATACTGTCCAATTATGAAGATGATATTTCTTCTTTATTATTCCAGTAAGTTCTTAACTGAGGTTTGCCAAAAACTAATAAGGATGTGTAACTATAGATATAAATTTTAACCATCAACCCTTTATGAAAATTGCAACACTGGGCACCTGGACCATCTCTTTCCTTAGATGAAATCTGGCTGGCCTTGATGTCAATTGTAATATTATCAACTTGGTCTGGGATTTATTTTTAAAGTGTGAAAAGAGACATTTGAATAAAGAATTGTGCTGTCTGAAAACAAATAGTCAACATAACAAGAACAGAAAACAGTCCAACTGAAGTGAGGAAAATCTTGGATTCAGATGTGCTAGGCAGGTTGTTACAGGAGTAAACAGGGACCGGGGTGAAGCATGTTGCCAGCCGCAGAAAAACCTGTACTTCCTTCTGTTTGAAAGAATGCCTACACAGACCCTAAGTGCACATCTGTCTTGTTCTACTTCCCAATCTTCAGACTGTTTCCCTGCTCACGCCTTCATCATGATTGCAGGTAGATGTCAAGAAATAATCAACAAAGTTTATTTCAAAGCTACACAACATGAGAGCTTTCCTCCAAAGGGTGGACACATCCTAAGGGGCTCAAATTCTGTGTCTCCCCTTAGTGTTTCACTCTTTCTAATCTTCCCTCTCCCATCTCCTTCCTGCGTGGTAGTATTTTTCTTCTTGAAAATCGGAAATTATTCTTTCTGGTTTTCTCCCAATGCGGAGAGGGGTGACCGTACAATAAACAGTGCAGAATGCAAAGAGAAAGAATAAGCTAAAATAGTAAAAGGGGATTTTTCTTTTCTTTTTTGCTTACCGACAACAGAGCATATGGCAGGGACCTACTGGAAGACACACAGCGAATTAGAACAGTAATGCGTTAGAGACCTACCAAGAGCTGAAGGCTATTGGCAGCAAAATGAGGAACAGAGACCTAAGAGGCATCTGAGACATACAAATCGAAAAGGCAAGCAAGTTCTGGGATTGGGCTGGGGCTCCAATTGGAAATAAAACTGACATAACCATTGATTGGACAGGGTGAAAGGCGTTCCATGACATCTGAGAAATGGGCCATTGGACTGTTTTGGAATGCAGGGGAAATTTATTTATTTATTTATTTATTTATTTATTTATTTATTTATTCACCTTTCTCTTTAAAAAAAGGACCCAGGAAGTATACAAATATTACAAAAAAAACTCAAATACCACACTAAAGTGGAAAACAAAATCCACACCAAAACATACTCAAAGTAACAAGGCACAACATTCCATTTAACACACAGAGAGGGGGGGCAGCCAGTCATTGAGGGAAAGCCTGCCTGAAGAAGACCGGACTTTGTCTGCTTGCTGAAGGACAGTAAAGATGGGGCCAGCCTGGCCTCCTTTGGGAGGCTGTTTCAGAATCTAGGTGCAGTGTGACAGGGAGGGCCCTTTCTTGTGTCCTCACCAAATGTACCTGTGAAGGTGGTTCCCAAGCTACTCTTGGCTATACAAAGGAACTTCAATATGTTCCACAAGGTCCATCCTTACTATAGGTGGAAGAAGTACATTTTACCCCTAGTGTTTGCTGAGCCCAAGATGTTTAGGCACTGCCAATAACGGTTGTCACTTAATCTGTTTTAAAAGTGCATAATACATAATCCAATGGGTGATGGATGAATCAACTTAAATGTGAAGTCATCCCTTTTTGCTGACATTTCAGCTTGCTGCCAAAGTGACCTTGCCTGAAGCCCTAACTAGATATGGAATACAGTTTGCTGCATTTCCCCTATAAGATTATGTGACTGTAAATTAAACAAAACAAAACTGAGAAGCAGCATTAGGAAGTTATGAGTTTAAGCCTCAGGGAAAGGGGGAACTGATATGGGCACAAATACTCTAGATGCCCAAGAAGATTTCCAGCTTTATCTCTGGCATTAAGTTGCTCATGATATAATTGATAACTAGTGGAAAACAACTGCATATCTAATTCAGGAATGGACAACATTCTGCACCTCTCAGTGGTTTCGGTTTCTGGCTCTGGAGTCAGAGGATGGGAGTTCGATTCCCCACTGTGCCTTCTGCAAGCAGAGCCAGCCTGGGTGGTCTTGGGCAAGCTACACAGTCCCAGGCTGCACCTAGAAGAAGTTGATGGTAAACCATTTCTAAGTACTCTCTACGTAAAAGGCCTTGGAAAAGATCACCATAAATTGGAATTGACAGCACAAAAGGAAGGATTATCTATTGTTATGTGTGGTACGCACTGTTAAGTCGCAACTGAATTATAATTACCCTAAGGAGGCATTCAATGCAAGTGAGATATTTAAGGAGTGGTTTTACCAGTTCCACCTCCCTAATGAGTTTCCATGGTCAGGCAGGAATTTGAACCCAGATCTTCTGAGTCCTCATCGATCACTCCATCCAGTACACCACACTGGGTATCTTTATCTTTGTCTATCACTGGATTGCAAGTCCGATTACCCTTAGGCAACACATGGTGAGAGACAACATTCAAAGGGCTGCAATGTATCCTTTCTTTGATAAAGAACCTCTAAAACATGGTACTGAACAGAACACATCAGAAGAGCTTTGAGTTTTGGGAAGGCATCTCAAGGTATGGTAAAAGAGGCCCGAGCACTCCTAAACCAGTAGCTTGCCCTCTACCTATCTCCTACCTTAATTTCTCAATCCACATGTTTAATTGAAGCACTGGCACTTTCTGTATACAAGACAACAATCTCAAGCATGCTTACTTGAATGTTAACGAGATCAAAAGCAAAGGACATTATTCCAGAGAAAATACTTAGGAAATGCATCTCAAAATGAATTACCCCATTATTTCTCTCTCAGAAATGCAATACAGTGGTGCCTCGCTAGACAGTTACCCTGCATGACAGTTTTTTCGCTAGACATTGACATTTGGCGATTGCTATAGCGATTCGCAAAACAGTGATTCCTATGGGGGAATTTCGCTGGACAATGTTTGGTCCCTGCTTCGCAAACAGATTTTCGCTAAACAACGGTTTTGACAGCTCCCTCCGCGCTCGCAAAACGGGTGTTTTCGGGACCTAAGCTTCACAAGACAGCTATTTAAACAGCTGATCGGTTGTTTGCAAAGCGGCTTTCCTATGGCCGATCTTTGCTAGACAACAACGATTCTTCCCCATTGGAACGCAATAAACAGGTTTCAATGCATTCCAATAGGGAAATGCTTTTTGCTAGACAATGATTCCGCTAAACAGTGATTTCAGTGGAACGGATTATCATCGTCTAGCGAGGCACCACTGTATATGGAACTTCTCATACTTCCCAACTTCCCTGCCAAAAATTTGTTCCTCCTCTGTTGGAATCCATGTCTTCCCTGGTACTAGCCCTGACTTGTGCAGGCCACTGGAGATAAGTAGTTCAAGTTGTGATTCTGCACACAATTTTTTTAAGTAGTTGCCACAATGGAAGACTTGAGAAAAGATGCACTCAGTGAGGCTGCGGGTGATAGCTTAGTAACAAGGGAAATAAGAGAAACTAGAAGATAATGGGCAAAGCTGGAATCAAGATCCTTGTCTAGTAAGGGACGGATTAGGGGATGGATGGGTTTCAGTCACAAACACGACGGGAAATGCTACCTTATAAATGATAATTACATGGTAGCAACGTTTTAATATGTGTTCTAGTGAAATAAATTCATTTAGCAGCAATGTTCTTTTCAGTGGCTTTCAAAGCATGTTAAATCCATTCTTATTTAAATGTGCTAATTTATTTCACAAAGCTTTAATATTGTAATCTGTTCTGCGTTTTAAAAGGCACCTGTTCTTTGATACAGGCTGTAAGCTGCCCTGAATCCTGCAGGGGAGAAAGACAGGTATAAAAGAAATATATCACTTCCATCAAAGTAGAAACCTCCATGTGACCAGCAACCCTTCCTTAACAGCCTCCCTGACTACAGAAGAGGTCTTACTTGTATTCAAGCCAATGTAGGTAAAGCCGCCATTCAGGCCTTCCTGCTCAATTGGGGGAGATCAAGAACTCAGAAACCAGGGAAAGGGGATAGTGGGGAGAGACGGGTGTTTGGGGTCCCACTCTTTGACAAGCATTCCTGGACTAGACGCAGCCATAATGCCTGAGGTGGAGTAGCGAAAGGACTTCATTTCCATTATACAAAGCAAGCCATTTTTATCATGTGGCTTCCCATTCTACTTTGATTATTTCAGACTAACTGATTTTTAAGGAAGGGGTAGAAACACCTGATGGCGAGGGATGATTGTATCCCAGCGCTAACTGGGGGCTGTAAACTTTGATTAAAAGTTTTGAACATATACATATACACAAAGCCACACACATACAGGGCAAGACAAGACTTGCACCCATATAACCCTACCGTGACAGCTACATGAAAGGGGTAAAGGGGTTTGATCCTTGCTCACATTGAGACCTCACTCTATGAGACACTCTAAGATAAAAATGGGAGGTAGGTAGACCAATGAAATGACATAAACAGGAAAAAATTAGAATTGACACTCTAGCACAACTTGTCAACAATGTCAAAACGGTAGGTAGACCAATGAAGTGATATAAACAGGAAAAAATTAGAGTTGACACTCTAGCACAGTGGTGTCCAATCTTGGCCCTCCAGATGTTCGTAGACTACACCTTCCAGAAGCCTTCACCACCACCTCTGCTGGCCAGGATTTCTGGGAGTTGAAGTCCAAGAACATCTGGAGGGCCAAGGATGGACACCACTGCTCTAGCACAACTTGTCAACAATGTCAAAAACTTTCAAACCATAAAGCAGAATTTAAATTAACCCCCAAATGTTTTTTATTTAATAAAAAAATCCCTGCAACAAAGACACTGCCTCAAAGCTAGGTTTGGTTCAGATGCTGTGGCAGCTTCAGAACCCCAGAGGCACCCGATCTGTGCACACGGTAGAGATATTCCTATGCATTCACAGATTGTCATAGTCCTGTGTCTAGACTGAGTTAGATTCTATGCTGGACAAGCCACAGCCTAAGCGGGCTGTTCAACATAAAAAAATCCCTGCAACAAAGACACTGCCTCAAAGCTAGGTTTGGTTCAGATGCTGTGGCAGCTTCAGAACCCCAGAGGCACCCGATCTGTGCACACGGTAGAGATATTCCTATGCATTCACAGATTGTCATAGTCCTGTGTCTAGACTGAGTTAGATTCTATGCTGGACAAGCCACAGCCTAAGCGGGCTGTTCAACAGGAGGCTGGTGGGAGAGAAGCTTAGATGCTTCCCAATGGAAGTGCATTCTTGCAAATATTAAAAAGTTCCATCTTAGAACTGTGACTACAACTAATCCAACAAAAAATAATGCTGTGCACATTTTGGACACCAGCTAACTGGGCAGGAAGATAAAAATCACTAGAAATGCTCTGAAGAACAAGGGGCTTTAACCCACATGCTACACCTGTGCTCCCGTACCTCTTTCAGCAAGAAACAATGAAATATGTTAAATCTGTACTTGAAATAACTTGGAATTTCTCAGCTCATAAACTACCATTAGGACACCTGCTACAGAAGTGGAATTCTGGAAATGGGCATAGCCTATGACCCTAGGGGCAACCTTAGGAGTTGAACACATCGATCTACAGAACTGGAGATCAACTACCACATCACAAATTGGACACTGGACAGAAAATGCCACTGTTCGTGGAAAAAAAAACAGCATACAGAAGAGAAGAGGAGGAGAAGCTAAAAAGAAATTTAAAATACGCGTTCCACAGTCCCAGAGCTCTTCAGTGATGGATCCAAATAGACACGAGACTGTGAAAACTTCTAGAGTCATCTCATCTTCCATGCTGGCTCCCATTTATTTCCCTCCCACTTCCCTGTCCTTGTCTGTTATGTGCTCTACCCTCTGTGACCAGCAGGTGTAGAAGAAGTTATAGCTGTCAACATATGTAAACAGGTACATGGTTTCTGGAATGGAAATGCTTTGGAGGTAGAAAGATGTATTTCTCGTTCCATCTATAAATTTTAAAAAATACACACACATTCACTTCTAAAAAGCATGAAGAAGTTTTTCACACACACACACACACACACACACACACACACACACACACACACACACACACACACACACACACACACACACAAAAACA